TTCCTTCCTTCCTTCCTTCCTTCCTTCCTTCCTTCCTTCCTTCCTTCCTTCCCTCCCTCCCTCTCTCTCTCTCTCTCTCTGTCTCTCTCTTTCTGAGATACTCTTACTCTGTTGCCAGGCTGGAGTGCAATGGCACAATTTTGGCTCACTGTAACCTCTGCCTGCCAGGTTCAAGCGATTCTCCTGCCTCAGCCTCCCGCATAGCTGGGATTACAGGTGCCCACCATCACATTCAGCTAAGTTTTGTATTTTTAGTAGAGACAGGGTTTCACCATGTTGGCCAGGCTGGTCTCGAACTCCTGACCTCAAGTGATCCGCCTGCCTCGGCCTCCCAAAGTGCTAGGATTACAGGCGTGAGCCACCATGCTTGGCCTAGGCCAGAGCATTTCCATAGGCTCAGGGCCCCAGGAGAATTTGTGGGGCTTGTCAGCTCAAGCCCCATGCCCTGGTGGTGGGAAGGATCCTGGGGCCACCTGCCAAAGACCAGCTTTGAAGTAGTTGTGGCCAGAGTGTCCCTAGTGAGATGGGGAGTGGAGTCCCATGGTGGGCTCCAGGGCCATTGTGAGGGACTGAGAGGTGGCCTAGGCCTGGTTCTGCCTATGGCATATGAGCTGGTGCTGCTGGGAGCAATGGCAACAGAAGCACTTTGCAAACTGAGAAGCACCTTGTATATGGCAAAGGTCAGTGTAAATGGCATCACATTTGCAGCTGTAGAATGTTGTGGACCTGTGAACAGCTGGATTTGATGGGGAAGCCTGGTTGTGTTCTGTGACCTAATCTGGGGTTTGGTGGCAGCAGATGGGCCACCTCTGTCACCATTCTCCAATGAGTGCCAGCTGAGCAAGCCTAGTGGGGAGGCAGGGGGAGGGGAGCCCCACCGCCGACTCTGTGCCGTGTCCCCTAGAGCCATCCTCCAGCAGCAGGGCTCACCCGTGGACGCCACCATCGCGGCTCTCGTCTGCACCAGCGTTGTCAATCCTCAGAGCATGGGCCTGGGCGGAGGGGTCATCTTCACCATCTACAATGTGACGACAGGTGGGCCCACATGTGACCTGCTATGGGGAAGATGGGCTTGTCCGCACCACAGAGGAGCCCCTTCTCCAGCCAGTCCCATCCACTCAAGACCACTTCTGGGTGCTCTTGGGCCCCCTGCCCTGCCCCCTTCACCTCAGCTGTGCAAAGCCCTTGTGTCAACTCCTGTCCCCCTGTTAGCCCAGAGTCCATCTCATAATGCAGAGATGGAAACTGAGGCCTGGAGCAGGCCAGGGGCTGTCTGCAGGGTCCGTGACCGCTCACCTGCCCTGCCCTACTCCAGGGAAGGTGGAGGTCATCAATGCCCGGGAGACAGTGCCAGCCCACCACGCCCCGAGCCTGCTGGACCGGTGTGCACAGGCTCTGCCGCTGGGTAGAGGTGAGGCCCCATGGGGGTCCCCCACTCCCACCCCCCAGGCCACTAGGACTGACCACAACACCCCCCAAAGGATCAGTGCCTCATGGACAGGCTGTGACTCCCTGGCACGGGGGGACAGGGAGTCTATGGGGAACCCCCAACCCCAACCTGCAGAGATTGAGGGATTGGGAAGGTCCCCCTTGGGAATGGGCGAGCTGAGGTGATCCTGGGAGAGGGCCAGGCTGGACAAAGGCCTGGAAGGTTGAGTGGAGATGGGTTGGTGGGACAGGGTGGGGCTCCTGGGGCCAGTTTGTGCAGGGCCCCTTGGGCCTGGCCATGGACTTTGTGGGGAGCCACAGGTGGTCTGAGCAGGGAAGGACATGGTCGGGTGTGGGCTCCAGAAAGCTCACTCTGGCTGCTGTAGCTGGGGGGCCACACGTAGGGGTGATGGCGAACCCCTGGGAAGGCCTGGAAGCCACAGGTTTGAGTGCTAGGATGTGCCATGCAGGGGCCCAGTGGATCGGGGTGCCCGGGGAGCTCCGCGG